ACTAATCTCAAAATCACATATCCATACACTTACTTTCTTTTGTTGACTACATCTAAATTTAAATGCACGGTTTATTTAACAAAGACTGTAAACAAATATTTACCATGTCTGTTACATGTAACACACAGGAACAGCTTTTGACAGAAATTCATCAACCCCCCCCAACATTTTTTGATTATAAATACAGGTATCAAAACAATACTGAACGTATTTTTGATACTACTAGCAGTCAGCACCCATACAGCTTCAAAATTAACACAGTTTGTGACAATATTCATTGTACCTGCTACTTTGAACAATTTCAAACTGTAGCTCTTTCACTAAGCAAGATGGATAAGCATGCCATTTCTGCTTTTCCTTTTTGAGATTTTACTTTTCAGAAACACACCTTTCCACTGACATCTGACAATTCTTGCCATGCTTTCATCTTGTAAACCTGAATTCTATTTGCATTGCTCCAGGTTCATGTTTAAATGACAGTGTCTTAATAAGAGAAAGAAAAATTGTGCCACATTTTTCCTCCTGTTACCTGAAAACATAATGGGTGTACGTATATTAAATATATTCTTACAAATGTCCAGGTCATGTTTACCAGCTGAAATTCTTTTACTTAATGTGTGGGTATTTTGCATTGTGATATTGAATCAAGACATTAATATGAGTAGAAGGTTGTTGATTTAAGACAAGTTTGAGATCCACTAAAACTAATTTGTTGTATGTTTGTCCTTATGGTGGTTGTGGAAGCTTCATATTTTCTTTGGACATCATTAGATGTCTTAGCTCTTTAAGTACAACTTTAATACTATATGAATTCTGACGTTTTGCTAACACTGGTATGCTGCATGCATCCACCATTCCACTGGAATTATTTATTCCATTCATATTAATTTTTGTTACAAATCTAACTGATGGAGGAGCTTCTGGGTACTTAGGTTCACATTCTACATTCAGGCTATATATTCTGTTTTCATAATTTGTCTTTGGTGGCCTAATAATCATGCCTGTCCACATTGTAAGTGTCATATCTTCATCATCTTCAAGACCCCAGCTAACCGTACCATCGGTTGCTCTTTTTTATCCTTCTTCAAGTTCTGCCAACAAGACAAAAATTACGAGGAACTTTAACTCCTGTGGAGACTGCCATCTTCTCTTACAGCCTGACACAGCCACCTGAACGCATGGGACATCACATGTCACTCTGCCTCTTTCTATATAGGTCATATACACTCACATTCCAGTTGTCCTGGATCACTAGCAGAAGCAAACCATCATCCTGATAGACTCATCACCTGGATTTCCAACAGGTGGTAATTTTCATTCTTATTTCCATCAGAACACTTGAGCCCTTATCTCTGACTTTAAACTTTCCAAAGCACAGACACACCATATTGTGTAGGCTTGTCCAACACGTCCAACTTTACCTACATCAATTTCACTGGAGAGTTGTAACCCCTGAGGCCTCCAGGCATGTAAACTGTGGCAAATGGATGTAACACATATACCCCAATTTGGTAGGCTTCAGTGTGTACACATCATCATAGATACTTACTCTCATTTTATGCATGCTATCTGCCAGGCAGGGGAAACTACAGGACATGAAAAACAGCATTGTCTTTCAGCATTTTCAAAAATGAGAGTCCCTAAGAAAATAAAAAGATGATGGTCCCACTTACATGAGCAAAAGCTTTCAAAAATGTTTTACAAGAGAGGTATATTACTCATTCTACTGGAATTACTCATTCTACTTATATCCAAAGGGGCAGGCTATTTTTGGGCTTGCACACTTGCTGCTACGATGCCAAATACAAAAACGAAAAGGGGGAATAAGCCATAATCTCTCTTTTTTTTCTTTTGATTTTTTGAGATAGGGTCTCATTTTGTACTACAGGCAGGGATTGAGCTCACTATGTAGTTCAGGCTGGCCTCAAACTCATGGCAATCCTCCTGCCACAGCCTCTGAGTACTGGAACTACAGGTGTGTGACTCCACACCTGGCTGTAGAAATTGAGAATGATTTTTAACCCTGTGTGGCTCACAATATTGTCTCTTCTTTTTGTGTAGCACTAGGAATTGAACTCAGGGCCTTGTACATACTAGACAAGTGCTCTACCAATGAGGTAGCCACTCTGTGGTGTCACAATCTCTTTAACCTAGCAATGTTTATACTTAATTTTTTGAATCCTATTGATCGTATGCATAGAACCCCAGAGGAATTACATTGGTCAAAAATATAAGAGCAAGGAAAAAAAGACAAAGCACACATATTAGAGCAGTTCCCAGAAATGGGAAAATGGGAAGGGCCAGTTACCTTATTAACACGGGCCAAAGGTTTGATTGTATCATTTCAGGAGATGGACAAACATTGGGGGTGCTCTTCAGGAACATGCAACCATGGAGAAATACCCGCCCACATGATGAGTCTGTGGCAGAACTTGACTCTGCTCCTTCCACCAGTGATGGCATTCTACCAGATGACACTGGGTGGCAATAACCAAAGGCAACCTCTATGATGTACACGACTTACGGACCCAAAAACATGGGGAAAATTGATGAAAACCCTGCTATGATCGCTATCATAGCATGTATTGTATATATATCTGTAGTACAGAGTGGGCACATATGCATAATCCTGCTTTGTTAAAGCCTGTTACTTGTCTGCTACCTCGAGTGAAGGACCAAACAACAATTAAGACATGTTCAACCTCTGCTTCTCCAAGTACAAAACAAAAAGGAGGAGATGTGGGAAACCAGGTGTAAATGCTGAAGTCTGGGTTAAACTCTCCTTGAAACATGAGAGAGAGAGCTGGGGATTTAGTTCAGTGGCACCACACCTGCCTCGCAAGCACAGGGTCCTGAGTTTGATTCCCAGTACCAGAAAAAAAGAAAAGAAAAGGAAATACAAGGGAGGAGATAAAAAGCTATTCCTTCTTCAGGTCCGTTCTTTAGCATGCCAGCACCACCCAGATTCAAAGAGAGAGCCAACAGTAGCTGAAGTCTGATTAAAGAAAATACAAATTTGGGTACAAGCTGTAAATTGTGAGAACCTGATGAACTTTCCATGAAACTTGGATCACCTACTTGCTTTCTTCTTTGTGCATGTATAGTAAAAGTGAAGAATACTGCCAGTTTGGGGCTGTTTTTTGCACTGGAGGCAAGATTCTCTGGCCCCTCCCTGGTCTTCCTAATTATCTGTCTTTTGTCTTTGTTCCCCATTTGCCCCATGGGTCAGGATAAACTTATAGGGTGGATTTGACAGAAGCCATCATGGAATTCATAGCAAGATCCAGTCTCAAAAAAAGAAAAAAAAACCCTTAACATTAGGCCAAGCAGAATGGCATAAAGCCTGTAATCTCCATACCTGGGAGGCTGATGCAAGAGATCCAAACCAGTTAAACAAAACATCAGGACCTTGCCTCAAAAGGAACACAGAACAAAACAAAACGGAACACCTAAGACAAACATTATGTTGTCTCCTTGGGAAAAAAAGGGGCACCCTGAGGCTGGGCCTCATCCTCAAGGATAAGGTCACAGGTATTAAAACTTCACTGATCATGTGGGAGCTGACCATGTGGGGCATTACCTCTATCATGAGACTGACAATGAGCCACAACAAACTAAACTCCTGGGAACCTGGGAAAAAGTTGGGGAAAGCCTCAACTCTCCAGGCAGGCTTTAGAATTAAAAATAAGGAATGAATGAAAGGTATCATGGCAAATATCCCACAGGGTAAGAAGGGAGTTCCAGATTCACTTGGCCCCAGAAAGACAAGAGTGTCTCAGACACATTAGCACAGTCAATTTTCTTTTTTATCTTGTGAGAAAAAAATAAAATTTCATAATCAAATTAAAAGACAATTCCAATAGTTATTATACTTTGTATTGTTTCCTCCAGAATAGTTACTTAGAGTGCAAGGCATAAACTAAAAACATTCTTACAAAAGAAACTTATTAGTCAGTTTTGAAGAGAAAGCTATACCCTGTTTTGTGTGCGTGAAGATGCACAGGTGTGTGTGTCTATGTGTGTGTACCTGTGTGTGCACGTGCTCACACTCAGGTCTCTTTGTCTTTCTAAAAGGTCCAAAACCCTTCACTGGATTTACACTTCAATTTGACAAGGGTCAGAGGAAAAATTTCCATAAGCTCACATTGAAAACACATTTGTTTTATTTGTAGTAAAAAGAAAGTAAGTAAAAATATGAGTGAGTAGACTGTCAAGCCATAGAGACTCCTTCAAAAAGACAAAATAACAGATATGAGAATGGGAGTTTTAAGAACCTCTAAGCCACCATCATTTCTTTCTACAATACATTCCTTTAGCCCAAGAGAGGTACATTTGTCCTCCTTTTGGAGGACTTGGTATCAGTGATACAAAATGTTCAATGGTCCCAGCATTACGGCTGTGTAGAAAGGTGGTTTTTCCCCATTTGGTCTGCTCTTTTATTTCCCTTGGCCTAAATAGAAAGATGTTCCCCAAAGCATGATTACACAGAACTCATTTTCTGCTGTTCTCAAATATACTATGCTCTGGAGAGATGGTCTGTTAATTATTGAAAGTGTGAACATTGTGTACCTTCCTCCACTGAAAAACCGTAAGTCCTGGAGGGACATGGAAGATGCCCCCAGAGAAGTCAGGAATGAAAAGGAGTGATCAGAATGCTCCAACAGCGTTTAGATGCCCAAGCCCTTGGATACCTTGCTCAGATAGCTCATGGTCTTCTTTCATTATTGACACACAGGTTTTTCTACATTTGAACTGGAATCCAGGCTAATGGGCCATGGGTACGGGGTGATAGCCACCAAATTTCCCTGGATTTCTGACCAATTTTCTACAGATATCCTCTCAGTGGCACTACCCTCATGGAACTCTGAAGCTTGAATCCACTCCTAGGAATTCAGATTCATATTTCTGACTGCAAGGACACAAGTCCAATGTCCCATTGCTTGCCAGAAAACCTTTTATCCTCTAATCCCATCCCCCAGTTTTACGTGTCCCTTTTCCACTCACAAAAAGCAGGGGTCTAGACTCTTTTGGGTCCTCTTATAGAAAATCCTATTCCTTGGCTTCTGGTTCCAAAAGTCCAGGAGAAAACTTCTGACATTTTTGCAATCATAGTACAGCTCACAGATACACGGAGAGGCCTCCATGCAATAGAGGAATCGGTGGTAACAATATTGGCAGGGATCTGAACCAAACACAGCCATCTTTGGCTGCCGTATGGCCTTCAGGGTTTCCATGAGCTCAGCACAAAGTTGGACAAATGTCCCTGGTTGCAGGTCGCCCATGTCATTATAGCTCTCTAGTGGGGCAGGATACTGCTCCAGACTTAAGTGGCTCATGCTGGCAGTGTGGCCCAGCAGATCCTTCAGGGCAGACATGGAGATGTTGTTCTCATAGAAACAGATGGTGGTGAGCTTCGAGCAGTGGCTGAGGGCAGGCAGGATGGCACTGATCTGGGAATCTGTCATGCAACATGATTCCAAATCCAAAGTGGTCAGGGTGCCTGCAACTTTCTCCACCAAAAGCTGCAGGGGCTTGGGACTAAACTGAGTCAGTCTGACTCCTCTCAGATCCAGATCTCTCAGCTGACTGATGCTTGGGCACTGGGTCAGATGGTTCCAATCTGATGGTAAAACTTCCCAGTGAGTTATTGAGAGGGTCTTCAACGGGATCTTCAGGCACCTGCAGAGATCAAACAGTTGGTTCTGAGAAATCATGGTGGAGATTGGAGGATGGTGAAGATGGCTGCTTTTATTTTTTCCAGTACCAGGGATTGAACTCAGGACCTTGCAGTTGTGAGGCAGGTGTGGCACCACTGAGCTAAATTCCTGGCCCTGAGAATGGCTTCTGAGAGGGACATGAACAGTGACACAAGGTCATTGTGATCCTGTGATGATAGCCAACCACCAACCCCTGAGTGTAGAAGGCACTGATCATTCGAGCTACCCCACATTAGTCCGAGTTCTATCACTGCCTTTGCATAACTGGCTTAGTCCTGAATCTCTACAGCCCATTTCTTCTCTGCCAAGCTGAAAACCAAACCTCTGTCCAGGCTAAACCAGGAGACAGGCAGAAAGTACAAATCAGGTAAGATCTGTCCACAGGGACTAGAATCCCTGTTGGGATCAATCCCAAACTCCTGTCTTCAACAAAGCTTCTTTTGCTATCCCCAGTCCTCACTCTTCTTTCTTTCCATTTTCCAGCACCTCAACTTAGACACAGTACTTAAGGAGAACTTGACAAACTTGTCCTCAGTATATATGACCCCCCACCCCCTGCCACCTGCTTTGTTAACATGATGACCTTTTCCTGACTGGTCACCTGAGTTTATTCTTATTTCTATATTTGTGGTTCTGCCCTACCTTGCTACCGATACAGCAGAAATAGGACAATCCACAGACATTCTAGTGTTCCAATCACTATTAAATCACAAATAGCTGGTAGACAACAGGTGTCCACTCACACACACACGCACAATACAGAAGTGCTTTGTTGTGAGCTGAAGGGAAAGCTCTCCATCCTACTCACCTGAGCACCTGGTCCAGGTGGCCTTTGAGGAAATAGGCACAGTCTAGGTAGAGCTCCTGGAGGCAGTTCAGCTCTCGGAGGTGAAGAGTGAACTCATCAACGTACTCTGAAATGCTACTTGAGGCACAATAGTACCCAGTAGAGAATGAAAAGAGAGCAAGTTTTTGAAGATTTCTCATGTGGCCCAGGTAAGGAGCAAATGATGCCAAGTTTTTCACATCCAAAAAGTCACACACTTCCACTTCCTGAACACACTTCAGATCCAGCATCTTCAGAACATCCATGAAGGTATCAAAAGGCATATTGTAAATCTCCATCTTCCTACAGCACAGGTGGACCAAATGTCTTTTCTGCTGGGCCCACTCAAAGAGATAGGTTTGGAATCCATTTAAATTTCCACTCACGGTGAGCAAGTCTGCCGTCACTTTCAGGAGCTGCTTTTTCCTGTTCACTTGGCAGTCATCGAATGTTTGTTCCCTACACTTGTCATCTGGTACCCAGGCATGAGCCATGGCTCTGGGCCCCAGAGTCCAGAAGTCCTGGTACACATTCCTCAAATCCAGCACTTGCAGTTTCCATCTACTGTGGGTGATAAAAGAAAGAGTCTCAGAAACGAGATAAAGATCCAACTTCCTACCTGTGCTTCATTTCTAATTTCTAGGCATTATCCACTGCCCCCTTTTCCTGCCTTCCTTTTTCTACCTTCTTTAACATCTTGCATGCAGCTTGATTGCATCTTGCTTGCAACTCCAAGTTCCTGTGAGAAGAGGCAGGTGCAGACTCCTTCTGTGGTTACCACACCCAGCGCAGGCAGCTTCCACATCTGGAAGCCACTTCCTAGATGCTCAGCAATGGCCAAGGCCTCTGGATCCTCCTCTCTCACAGCATCAGAAGCTGCTCCACACCTCAGCTCCCCACACTCCATGACCCCCACTGTCCTTCCCTAGAATCCCTGCACCCTCCCTCCAGGTCACCTGGGCCACCCTCACCTGGGGTGAAACTTATGTGCCAGCAGCATATCCAGCCCATGCAGCACAGCTTTCAAAGTCTGTAGATTCCTCTCCTCTGGCTGGAGTTTTTCTAGTTCAGATTGTGGGGTCCCAGATTTCCTCATCTCCATCAGGGACCCCAAAGGGAGGCAGGGAAAAGGCCAGGCTGGGACCATCACCTTCAGGACCTCATCAAGTCCACACATGAAGGCCTCCATGAACATTTCATGGAAGATGAGGCTGGGCAGGTCATGCAGAGCAATACAGGCTATGGACTCACTTTTCAGCAGGCTGTGCTTGGTCAGCTCATACAGAGTCAGTGGGCTCTGCATACTTATCCTGGTGGATCTGCAAGAACAAGGATCCTGGGAACATCCAGGAAGAGGCACCTGCTCAGGCCAAGATCAAGAGACTCCTTATGACCTAGAAAACTAACTCTGGACCAAGATCTCTGTCCTGTCTCTGGTGGAGGACTTCTCAGTGTGCCTCCATATCTCTGTCCTCATTGACCAAAAAGTCACAGCTCTGCCCCTTGTTAGCAGCAGCGCACCACTATCCCATCCACTATTGGCCACTAATCCTGTTCACTCCAACCCTTGTTAGAAGTGGGTGATGAGGAGTCTGAAAGCTCAGCTATGCTCATGCTGGAAAAATTTCTGATCATCACTCCATGGTCCTGGGTCAATAGCAAAGGAAATAGCACATGGCCCAACCAACCCACCTTTCCATTCAAATTATGAGCATAGCTGCAAAAGACTAGAGAGATGCTATAAATGGGTGCCATTACTTTTGCTTTAAAAAGCTGAACAAGACATTTTCGAAGCTCTTACAGGCATGTCATTTAGAGATGGAATATGCTAACTCTGTGATGTAGATTCCCATTCACACCTCTTCCATATTTGATAATTTGCCAGTTTGAGGAGGAGTATAGGGGAGAAAATAGACAACAACAGAGACTCTAACTCTAAAATACTGGATAGAGAGCTGGTTCTGGTGGCTCATGCTTCTTGTAATCCCAGCACTTTGGTGGCAGAGTTGAAAGGATTCCAAGCTCAAGCCCAGCCTGGGTATTGGATTAATTTAGCAAAAGCCTGTATCAAAAAGTTAATAAAAGTCTGGGAGGCCTGGGATTTAGCTCAGTGGTTCCACCACCTGCCTCACATGCACAAGGACCTGCGTTCGATCCCTGGTACCAAAAAAGAGAAAAACAAATGTCTGGGGATGTTCTTGAGTGGAAAGTTTCAGATTTCAATCTCTGTGAAAGAGAAAACAAAAAGAGAAACAAGATGGGCTTGGTGGCACACTCCTGTAATCCCAGCACTCTGGAGGCTGAGGCAAGAGGATCTGAGTTCGAGGTCAGCCTCAGGTACATAGTGAATTCAATGCTGGCCTAACTACATAGTAAGACCTTGTCTCAAAAAAAAGCAAACAAATAAAAACAATAAAACCTGATGTAAAGTATTGCATAGAATATTGTGTGTGTGTGTGTGTGTGTGTGTGTTTCACTATATTGTGAAATGAACCAAGAGTCTGCTCTGACACGTCCATTCTTTTTTTATTGAAATTCCATCTCATTGACTTGCTCATGTTGGGTATGAACTCAAAAGCTTCCCTCCTCCAACTTCACAGTAGGGGATATTTTAGACACAGGCAACCACTACTGGTGATAGTGTTTTTTAGGCTCATTTTTTCTATGTAGCAATGGGGAATGAATTCAGGGCTTTGCCTATGCTAGGCAAGTGTCCTACCATTGAGTTTTACCACATCCCTATATTTGATCTTTAAGTAAAAGTTAGTAGGTATGGTGGCATATGCCTATCTATATTCCCAGCACATAGAAAGCTGAGCAGGAGGATTACTTTGAGTATGAGGGCAGCCTGTACTATACAATGAGTTCAAGGCCAACCTAAACTACATAGTGAAACCTGGTCTCAAAAAAATAGTTATTAACCTTTAAAACCACAAAGCCAAAATCTTTGAAGTATCCTTTAAGGAGAAAAATATTTAATTAAAAAATTGTCAAGAAATATACTGCCTGGTGACTTAAGCACGAAAGTCCCAAATTCAAGCCCCCATTGGATACCCGTGAAACGGTGAGACCTTGTCTCAAAATTTAAAATGTTTGTAAAAAATAATGGCTAGGATGTAGCTCAGAATGAAGGCCCTCAGTTGAATTTCTCTCCTGAAAAGACGAAGAAATAAAATATTCCAACTGGTTGAAGTGACACCAGCCTGTGATGCCAGTGCTGCAGAGGCTGGCAAATTCAGGTGGAGTTTGCTGTCCGCCCAGCAGGTTAGGGGACCGTGTCTCAAAGTGGGTCACTGGGGGGACTTGTTAGTGAATTGGTAGGCACCCCTATGTTCTGCAGCCCTAGGTACTGAACAAATAATCCAATATCTTTCCCCCTTTTCCTTCCTTCCTTCCTTCCTTCCTGCCTTCCTTCCTTCCTTCCTTCCTTCCTTTTGTGTTGTACATGGGATCAAAGCATCTACTACATGCTGTTCAGGCCTCTAGTGTTTAGCAGTATTCTCCATGGATTTTTAAAAAGATTTGACTCAGCCTGGTGTGGTGGCACAGGCCTGTAATGGCTGGACTTAAATTCAAGCCCAGCCTAGGCAATTTAAGCCCTTCAAAATGAGCTGGGAATGGTGGTGTGCACCTGTAATCCCAGCAGTTTGGGGTGGAGGCAGCCAGAGGGATGAGAGTTTGAGGCCTGTCTGGGCTACACAGTGAGTTCCAAACAGGAGAATAAGGTAAATTTGATTTAGGGTCAAAACAAAAATCTCAGCCAGGGGTGGTAGGATCAGACTTAATCCAATCCACAGGGAGGCTGGGAGTGGAGGAGCTGGAGTTCAAGGTCACTGTGGTTACATGTTGGAGGTCAAGCACAGCTTGGGTGCCAGGAGTGGAGGCGGAAGCCTGTAATCCGGACACACTCTGGAGGCTGAGGCAGGGAGATTGCAAGTTTAATCCCAGCCTGGTCAAGTTAGTGAGACCTTGTCTGAAAATACCATAAAAGCTGGGGATATAACTGTGAAGGACCTGGGTTCAATACTCAGTAATGAAAAGAAAATTTTTTTAAAGAACAGCTTGAGTGACATAGCTAGGCCTTGTCTCCAAGGAACAAAAACAAGCCGAACGTGGTGTTGAGTGCCTGGAATCCCAGCACTCAGGAGGCTGAGGTAGGAGGATCAGCATGAGTTTGAGGTCAGCCAGGACTGCAGAGTGGAAGTCCAGCCTAATAGTGAGGCCCTCTCTAAAAAATATACTACCACAAAAACACAAAGTCTTAAACCTGTTGATCTGAAAAAAGAAACTATGAAACCCTCAGGGTCATCTGGGACCTCTGTTCTCACAGGACACTGGCCAACGGTGGCCAGGAGGGGCATCCTCATGGATGGCAGTGACTCACCAGGTGTAGACTCGGGTGATGGGGCTCTGTGGGTCTCCGGGATCCTGGCAGGACCAGGCGCTGACTGAAAGCTCCAGAACTGAGCATCTCCTCAGCTCCTCTCCTGCTTTTATCCTCCCTGTTAGCTACACCTTATGTGCCCAGCTCCTCCCTTCCCATCAATCTTTGATCTGTAATTGGGTTTCTTCCTCTCTCCTCACTTAATCCTGTGTCCACATTGATTGATTTTAGCAACTCTCTAGACAGAGCCAGAGAAGAATTTAGGAGAGAGTGAGGCTGGGTGTGGCGACACACGCCCGTAATCCCAGCACTCACTTGAGAGGCTGAGGCAGGAGGATAGGCAGGAGTTGGAGTCCAGCCTGGACACATAATGAGGTAAAGTCCAGCCTGTGCTACAAAGTGAGACCTTCATTTCAACCCCTACCCCCAAAAGTAGAAAGTGAAAATCAAGGATTCACCATTGATTTACTTCACAAACACAGATTTAGTTTTTTAGTTGTTGGTTTTTATTTGTACTGGGGATCGAACTTGGGTCCTTCAGCTTGTGCAGCAGGCAGTGAAACCACTACACTAAATCCCCGGCTTGATTTAGTACTATTAAAATGTGGGGCTGGGGATTTAGCTCGCTGGCACCTGTGACACTCAATTTAGCAACTTAGCAATACCAGCGCCATGTTGAGAACATTCTCCATTTTGCAAATATGTGACTTCCAGCTGCACTCTTTCTCCTGAAAGAAAATCCCACCCCAAACCGATGCCTGTAACCACAAGGTAAAATAAACAGAAACTGTGTTTCAGGTGATCTACAACAAACCATTACCCAGGGAAATGGGAGGAACTAACTGTGCTTATCCTGGCTTCTGTAACCAGCTTCTGCAACAATCCGTAACCCAGCGCAATGTGAGGAGGGACTTTTTCTGTGGTTTTCCCCTTTAAATATGCAGTCCTCATTTCAGTTGGGCCTTTGTCCTCTGACTTGGTTGGCGTGTACATGGGTCCCGGCTGGAAAATAAAGTTCTCCAGTAAGATCCCAGGACTGTGTCATGCTTTGAGAGTTCATCGCTAATCTAATTCAGGGATGAGGTCCAACAGCACCATCCTTGCCTTGCAAGCTCAAGGTCCTGAGTTCAATCCTCACTACCAAAACAACAACAGCAAAACAAATAAAACAACCACAACAACAAAAAACATGGCAGTCACAGATGTGAGTGTGAAATGGGAATTATTCTGGTTCTGATCTTGGGCAGGAATGATCCCTGCAGAAGGATCTTAGCTACCCCCAAATATTGATTCTCTTCTAAGGTTAAAACCACTATACATCTTGATGTTCCAGCCTCCAGCTCCAGGCTGCAGTCCTGGCTACTTTGGAAGTACCCTGAGGCACAATGAGCATTTGAACACAGGAGTGTGGTTACAGCTGTGTAAAAAAGAAAAGCCTCGTTAGCCATGTTGGTGGCTCACGCCTATAATCCCAGCACTCAGGAGGCTGAGGCAGGAGGATCACAAGTTCAAGTCCAGCCTGGGTAATTTAGTGAGTAAACAAGACCCCACCCCCACCCCAATAAAACAACGAAGGTCTGGGGATGTAGCTCAGTGCAGAAACTCTGTTCAATCACCTGTGTTAGAGAAGAAAAGCCACATGGACATCCACGGATCTGTATATATCTAGGTACAATGAGCAGAAACTAAGCACCACTCTCTTGTGACTAGGAGATAGTCAGTTTTTTGTGGTGCTGGGAGTGGAACCCAGGACCTCTCACATGCTACCCAAGCTCTCTACACTGAGCTGTACCTACACTTGAATTATTGGAAAAATATTGCTTTCGGAAAACTGAGCCATGAAAGCCCTGGTACCTTTACATACTCTAAAGAATGGTTTTGTTTGTTGGTTTCAGGCAGGGTCTCAGTATGTAGCCCAC